AAACTTTGAGGAAATGCCGAGATTCCAGACACCAAGGTTTTCCCCGCGTGTTCACAGATGGATTGCTGTCCTAACTTGCTGTAAGGAAGACCTTTATCTGCAAAGAAAAATTTTAATCACTGATGCAGCCTACTCAGCATATTTGTAAAAGAATTCATTTGCGAGTATGTGAGGCTCTAGATCGTTTGCTTAGGGCTTCTATCATGAAGTCCAGGGAGTAAATGCCAGGGCCCAGGTGCCAACCCAAAGCTAATCATACCCTTTCTCCATGAGCGTCCAGAGTTATGGTTAAAAATCACTAGCGCAGGGTTCTGTGTGCTACCAACTCGCTTATTTTACGGTTCTCAAACAATGAATAGTAGTGATTCTTGTTTTCTGCGGTTTTTAATTTTTTTCAGACAAGATCATAATTTAAACTTGTTTCATTTCCTTTGAATTCTACAGTTCTATAAGATTTCTTCCCACCTTTGCCATGTTTAAAGTCGGAACATTTTCTTGTTCTTCTTAACTCAAAGTAATATCCCAGATGATGTTTCACATTACAAAAGTACCTCCTGAATAAAAAATCATGTTTACCTTGCTTTAAGCCCCAGGGTAAGAAGGGAGTATTTTCTCCATTATATTTAATTACTAATCAAAGTATTAAATATCATTGTAAAAATAAAACAAGAATGTCAGATGTGGACTGTGATACCAAATTGTTGATTTTTAAAAGGAAATTAATCATGTGATCTGGACTAAATTATTAGTTTCAAAAATCCCAAGCATTGAACTCCATGTAACTAATATGTGCATTTAACTTTTAAACAGTTATTCCAAAGTATTAAAAATCTTCACCATCCAAGTTTTTAGCCAATTTTCCCTTCAGTGCACTAGAAGTTCCCATTACCCTTTCAAGTGAATAGCAAGCAAGAATCATGCCCATTGTTCCAACGTAATGGTTTAGAATGTACCGATCGCCATTAGAGATTAGTGCTCCTGGAATGGAAACCTTGGCCTGCTAAATAGGACGACGAAAAACAACCCCAGACGATATTTTAGGGTGATTTATATTAGTGATGTAATATACAAAGAATAGAAGCACTGAAGGCAGGCAGACTTGCATTCCAACCCAGAGTCTACTACCGGAGCTCCGGCGTCTCACTTGCCCTTTCCCAACCTTGATTTCTCTATGTATAAAGTCATGGAAACACCAAAGCGCCAGGTTAGAGAGAGGACTGACCTTGCCTGGACAGGCAGGGTGTAGTGGAGTGGCAGAGTGCTTGCCCAGCGTGCAAAAGGGTTTGGCCGGACCACGGAGAAAATGCTTGGGCCCTCGCTAACTTCCTAGTTCTTCATGAGTGAGGCTGGTTGTTCTATATAATATCTTCATAAAAGGGTTTTAAAGCCAGGGACTGAACCTTCTTCTGGCCAAATGCCGAGGCCCCTGGGGAAGGACTCAGACCCACAATAGCCTGAACTTGTTCCCTGCCACCTCTGACACGAGGGCCTTTGTTCTGCTTGATTATTTCACCTGTTGTGCCCCGTGCCCCTCCTGTGTCCTCGCTGAAGCACAGGGAGCCAAGTCTGACTGCGTTTAAAGGATTTAGCTTCTCAGAGTTCGTTCTCCCGCCGCCCTGCAGGGGAATTTGTCAAAGACCGCCCATTGACAATGAAAGGCCTTCCGTGAGGAACAACCTGATAGGGAACAAACACAGGTGGATGTCTTTGTCTGCCAGACGGGTGAGACCTTACTGTCTCTTGTTGCTGAAACAATCTAGGCTGGAAAAATGACTAGCGTCACATTAGTACTAAATTAGCCTCATTCCTTTTGTAATCGTTACGCTTGTTATGATTTCACCAAAAATCCAAGAATAACAAAAGAAATCCACCCTTTCGGGACACTGAGAAATTCTATCACGTTAATAATATAGCATCTAACAACCATATAGCAATTTTCAATTATTCAAGGTTGTTTGGTGAGCATTATCTCACTCGATTCTCACATGAACCAAAAGGGGGTTGAGGGAGCAGGTATTACTATTCCCCGTACATAAAGGAGGAAATGGAGATCATAGAGGTTGTCTCTTGCTTAAGGTTATTTTCAATTTCCAACCCCAAACATTTATCCCAGACTCTCCTTCTACTCTAAACTGTGAGTGAGCTGCAACAGGGAATAACAGGTGTGTCTTGCATATTGCCTTGTTTAGTGTATACAATAATTCGATGAAGTCGGTATCATCATTCCCACTTCGCAGATGGTCCTGAGAGTGCCAGAGCACCAGCTTGAGTCCACACAGGCAATGACAAAGGCAGCACTCCAATTCTGCTGTCTTTAGATTGCATTTTCCTCATTCTTCCACACTGCCAATGAAGTACCCACACAGGGTGCACTGTGGTTTAGATCTAAAATGTCCCCCAGAACCCCTGTGCTCAGAGGTGGGCTTTCAGAAGGTCACTGGTCAGGAGGCCCCAACGCCACAGTGGGTCAGTCCGTGGATGAGCTCTCGGTTGACGGCATTCCTGGGAGGTGATGGGGACAGGAGAGGGGTCTACTTGAAGGGAGAGGGGTGTGACCTTGGGAAGTCTCACTGGGCTCCGGCCCTTTCCTCTCTGATGCTCTCACCTGCCTGCTTCCTGGCAGCCATGAGGTGAGCAGTTCTCCACCACGCCCTCCCGCCATGTTGTTTCTACCTCCTCACGGTCCCAAAGCAATGAAGCCAGTGGACCATGGACTGGAACTGAGCCAAAACATACCTTTCCTCCTTTGCTTATGTTGGGTATTTTGTCACAGAGAAAGACAGAAAGCTGACCGCTATGGCCATGTGTGTGTGTGTGTGTGTGTGTGTGTGTGTGTGTTGTATGCTCACACCAGGCCGTGAGGTAGACCCTCTATCCCTCCCATGATTCCTGTCTCTCTGTCCCCAGACATCAGTACAATCACTGCTGAGGCACCCAGCAGGGATGAATATGGTCTCCAGCAATGCCTGCACTCTCTATCTACCCATCGAGGAGGGTGAGGTGCACAGTTCAAAAGCAGCACGTCTTTCAAAGCCTCAGTGTTGGTGCCCACCTTTCAAGCCCCTGTCCTTCATACCCCCTGCCTGGAGGGACTCTGCTCGGAGCAGATGGGTGCCACACAGCAGGCTACCAAGTCACTGCCAGTGCAGTGAAGTAGCAAGAAGGATGGGGTGACACCAACTTTGGACTCACCAACTGTGTGTCCTCAGGCGAGGTGGTTGCTCTGCCTCCCAGCTTGCTCCCCCGTGAGAATAGGGAAAGGGTGCCAGCTACTTCCTGGAGTTGCTTTTGGGGATAAAATGGGTTCATGATGGGAAGCACCTGGCACATAGTAACAATCAGGGCAAACATGCCAGGAGAAAAGTTAGTGAGGAGTGAAGTTACTAGTTTGGTTATTCTCAGTAACCAGATTTAACCCTTCCCAAGCCCTGTGGCACACTCCCACATCCCGTTTCTGGTGCTTCTCGTCTGTTCAGGAGAGAAGGGGAACATGCAAATAATTACTGCTCTCACGCACCAGAACCAAAGGCTCCTGCAGGAGGACAGAGGGCTGGGGTGCAGCTCAGGGGTGGGGCACTCCCCTGGCACAGCTAGCCCTTGAGTTTATCCCCAGCCCCCCAGACAAACAAACAGACAACAGCAAAACCTATACAGCTGTAAAAAAGTGATTCTGGTTTCATGCACCAGGGAAACTCCCTATGTAAAACAATTTTTTGAGTCTTCGCATCCTTCTAGTCATACTTCCACTGTAGCACTTAAAACAATATATTGTAATTATCTTTTCTCTATTTCTTTACAAGACCGTGAGCTGCTAAGGGTGGAGGATGTGTTGTGTGTACTTCTACACTGTATTTAGCTCTCCATTCCCAGTACCTACACTGTGCCCGGCACGGGGTAGCTTTTGTTTATTGAACTCCTGAAGGAGGGGAAGGGTAACTGTGCAGATGCATATTAATTCTTTTGCAAAGTAAATAATCATCGCTGAGTTTTGTGTCAATCTTTATTTTCACACTTTGGGTTTTCTTAAGGAAAAGATAGCTGATTCTTAAGGAAAAGATAGCTGATCTTGGTGGTCAGGTCATGGCATTGTCTAACCCCTCTAACTGCCATCCTGTACTTTTTGTATTTGTTTCACCAGTCAAATAATTCATTAATGAAAATATTGCCAGAAGTTTTCAGTTTTAAGGGTCAGAATCAAACCAACAAAAAGAAAAGCGTACCTTACATCCTTCTACATGTATTATGTTCTCTGCCAAGCGACAGGAAAGTGCACGTATACGGTTTCAGAAATGTACTTCAAAGTGTTCGCACTCATAATTATTGGGTTCATAGGAATCCATTTAAGAATTCTGAGGTTTCAAGAAAGTGTCAAGTTATACAGCGCTTCTGTGCTGGAGGGAATTGTACACACCATCCACAGCATTCCTTCCACTTCTGCAGCTGAGAAGACATGAGGCTGAGACAGGAATGATTTGTTTTTGGGGTCACCCAACCCCTCCAAGGCTGAACTGACCTCAGACCCCCACATTCTCAGGCCAGTGGCTTTTGAGAGACAAGTCGGGAGGCTGTAGTGATGCTGACTCTGGAAGATTCAGGCCGCCCTGTGATTCCCCACCAGCCAGGGCCGGGGCAGGGCTCTCAGTGTGGTGCTGGTGGAGGAACAGCCCTGTGGTCCTGGGAAGGCTCCCGGGGTGTGCAATGTGTTCACCTGGTATTTAACTCTGAAGGTGTCAGAGAAATGAGGGTCTGCTGCTCAAGAGAGGCAACATGGGGGGGTCCTTGCCCCCCCAAATCTTTATCATGGCCCTGGGCAATTTTTAAACATTTGAACTTCAAACTTTTAAACTTTAGTAACTTCTGTCGCGGTGTGGTGGAAACAGTGTAATGCGCCGCGGATTCCCTTTCGCTCATGGCGGGTCTGTGTGTCCAGGAGAGCAGAGCTTGTTCGTTTTAAACTGTGCAGCAAGTGTGACTCTGACTCTTCTCTTTTCTGCACCCAGACTCGAAAGACTCCAAGGAGAAGAATAAAATGGAGATCCTGTACATCCTGGTGCCGAGTGTGGCCATTCCCCTGGCCATCGCGTTCCTCTTCTTCTTCATCTGTGTCTGTCGCAACAACCAGAAGTCGTCGTCACCGCCAGTCCAGAGGCAACCGAAACACGTCAGGGGCCAGAACGTGGAGATGTCCATGCTGAACGCGTATAAGCCCAAGGTAAGGCCAGCCGTGCGCAGCTGTTTATCCCGGGGCCTCGGTGAAAGCCGCACGCTGTAACCCTCACGAGGATGAACTCCATCCAGGTAGCGTCAGAGTTTGACAGCACGGGGGTCCGTTGCTGGCAGAGGCAGAGACTCACTGCGTTTCTGTGCCTTTGCCTGCGGCAGCCCAAGCATGCTTCCCTGAGTGTGGCAGCAGGGCTGGGCCGGCCTGACTACCCCTGCTGTGCGGTTTGGGGCCACAAGGGACCCTTAGGGGCCACCTTGGCCCAGGCCTTCGGGCCCAGAATGCAGGCTACATTTTAAAATTTCAAAGAAGAGAAGCCCATATCTTCCTACCAGTCTGAAAGAGGGAGCCCCAACATTTCTACAAACTTCACTCTGAAGAAATCTTTCTTACTTCACAGCAGTGTGCACTTAGTTGTTAAAAGGAGTCTGTCATTAAAAAGGGTTGAGATAGGAAATTTTAGTTTTGCACATATTATGTAAATATAAAGCCACAATTAAAAAGTCCTTTTTATGCCTAACTTAAACCCCACCCTGTTACGTCTAAGACTATTTTAGGAGCGGGCTGTCCGGCAGCAGCCTCTGTGTGCTGCTGGGGATGGCCGGTCCAGCCCTCCCTGCTCTGCACTAAATCAGCCCCCTTTGCTTCTGCTTCTCATCCATATCTGTCAACACTCGGGTCACCCGGGGTCCTGGCAAGGGGTCTGGGGTCACTGCCCTTCCTCTGAGTGAGCCCTGCTACCTCCAGGAGCTGGATGGGCAGAGGCTCCCAGGGAAGGCCGGCGGGTCAGGCCCCAGCTCCGAGCAAAGAGCTGTATTTAAATGCTCCATAGTTCTTCCACAACCCAGCTTTTCTTCCTGGTCCAGCTCAGGGCACCGACCACTTAACGAGTATCTGTTGTCTGTCTGAGCTCAGGGCCATGTTATTCTTTTGGTCCACGTAGTAAAATTTTAGGATAAAAACATCTTCGTGTTCAAATGAACAGATCCTTTTGCCTGTTAAGTGAAACTGCATAATTGCAATTCTTGGTCCCCGTCTTATTTTGTTTTGCTTTGCTATTCAGACTTTTATTTAAATTTAGGTCTTGAAAATAGTTTTGCTATTATAAAAAGTCGTATTTGTTCATGAAGTTTTAGGGTTTGTTTAAATGGTAAAAGGTCATTTGCGAATATTTTGTCTCAAGCAAAATCACTGCTGTCTTGCCAAGTGTGAATATTTGCCATAAAAAAGCCCTACCCACCCTGAAGGTCACAGAGGCCGCACAGTGGGCCGGGAGGGGATAGAGGTGGACCTCAGACTTCTGGTGTCTTAGCTTCTAGCAAGCTGGTGTGCATGCACAGTGGAATTTTTGACTATTTTCTATTTTATGGAAATGTAAAATAAAATTTCATAATCAAATAATAAGAAAATAACAATAGTTATTATACTGTGTATCATTATCCTCAGAGTAGCTACTCAGAGTACAAGACATAAACCAAAAAGACTCTTACCAAAAAAAGCATAAAAGAAATCTTCCTTTTCAATGAACTAAGATCAACTAATAATATAAAGGGAACCAATTGACATATACATTGGAATTTGCACTATGGGAAAGTATTTGCACTTATCCCTATTTTTTATTTATCTCTGTTCTGTTTTGTTCTTTATTTGTGTTTTCCACATAAGAGAAACGATGCAATATTTGAGCTTGTGTGTCTGGCTTGCTTCACTTAACTCTGTGTTCTCAGGCCGCATCCATTTACCTACAGATGCCTCAAGAGTATCCTTCTTTATGGCAGAGTAGTACTCCACTGTGTATGAATACCACACTTTCCTTACTCATCCACCTGTTGATGGACATATATGCCATTTCCAAGATCTAGCTACTCTAAATTGTGCTGCTATAAACATGGTGGGCATGTGTCACTGTACTGTGATGATTGTAACTTTTTTGGGAAGATGCCTAGAAGTGGGAGAGCTGTGCCAACTGGAACCTTCATTTTTAGTCTTTTGAGGAATATCCACACCGATTTCCATAGTGGCTCTCAGTGTAGTTTTAATTTGCATTTCTCTGATGGCCAATGATGATGAGCATTTTTTCACATGCTTATGTGCCACTTGCACTTCTTCTGAGAAGTGTCCATTCATTTTGGTTGCCCATGTTGTGCCTGGGTCTCGTACAACACCGTAGCATTTTGTGGCCCGTCCCACGAAATCCTTACTGCCCACTGCTGCTACAAGGGTTCGTCTTAGTGCACGTCCTGGAGCTGGCACCTCCGTGCCCTGAGCATCCCCTGGCCGGCGGCTTCCCAGGCAGCAGGTGTCACTGTCCAAGGTCCCGCCTGCCACTGCTGTCACTCAGTGCTGAGGACCCCAGGCCGGGCAGACCCCGCTCAGAGGGGCACAGCAGGCGTTCTGGGTAGTAGCCCCCGTTCCACGGATGGGCTTCTCCCTGCTGTGGCGGGAGCCACGGACGAGCCCTTCCGCGGGGAAGGGGTCGGTATCGTAGTTGGCCTTCCCCTTGCCTTCCCTCCGTTGTTCTCTTTGTGGCACTTGACATTCCAGCGGCATGGAGATGTGAATTTACAGCGTTGCAGATGAAGCACTCAGCTTTGGGCTTACGTAGAGAAAACAAACATACATTGATTCATACAAATTGCCAAGTATGACTCCAGGGACTGTTCCACCCGTTGCCTCACTTAATTCTCCCAGCTGTTCTATCTGGTAGCTACCAGCGTCACTGCTGTGCAGCCGGGGAGACTGAAATCCGACAGACTGCCTTGTTCAAGGTCAAAGAGGTGCTGACGGATGGATCTAGAATCCAAACATAGGGTTTTCGACCCTAAAAAACCCTTGCTCTTGCTGACCCCCAGTAATGTTTTCACAGAGTAAATTCTGTAGAAAGGGGCAGATTGCTTTTGGTCAGCTTTGGTCATTCCGGCTGTGCCAGGACCACAGGCCTGTGGGGCTTCTGAGCACACTGTAAGGCTTGGAAACAGTCACCGTTGTGCCTGAGTGATGTACCCCAGCCCTGGGACTAATGGCAGCGCTCTGTCCTCCGTGGCCAAAGAGACAAACGTCAAATTCACCGGCCTGAGTTTTCCCAGAGCCCTGGCGAAGCAGACGTCGCTGTCCTGGTTTCTGGCTTGCTTCAGAAGTGAGCCTTACACAATCGCACCGTGTCCAACTGCCGCCCGGCCTCACAGAGCCCGAGAGCCCCTTCTGAGCCGGGCCGGGCACAGGAACGGCTCCAGGCTTTGCGTGCGTTGGGGGAGGAAGAAGGAAGCAACAAAAACAGCCGCCAGCTTTTCTTCTCCCTTTTTCTCCTGAGAGATTTGGCTCTGATCGAGTCAGAGCTCTTCGGTTGTTTGTTTTGGTTCTTTCCGAGTGCCTTTCCTGGAAAAGGCACAAAGAGCTTCGGAGGCCTTACAGAAAGTTCCTAGATGTAAACAGCTCATCCCTAAAACTGCTCTGAAAGGTCACCGCCACATGAACAGTACGTGTACCAATAAACCTGAAAGGAGAGACACACACAGGAAGAAAGGCAGGGAGAACCCTGAAAAGAACACTTCTCCAGAGCAAGACTGAAAGGAGTTTCAGCTGAAAAGGTTCTGGGGATGAAGAGCAGGAGCTGGTCTGCCCTCGCCTTACCCTTATTTTTCAAAATTCAGGGACTCAGGCTCAATTTATCCACATGCATGTGTCCTCCGGGGCTTAAACTAGCTGTTTCCAGCTCTCTTCGCCTGCGGAGCTGCCGGTGCTCTCCTGAGCGCTGGGATTAAGAGCAGGCAGCTCCGGGAGATTAGAAGGCGATACCCCGCCAGACGATAGGTGGCCACAGCCGGCCTGGCAGACAGGGCCGGCTCGGGTCCCCATCGGCAGGGAGGCTTCGGGGGGGGGTGGGGAGCGGTGGACCAGAGAGGGAAGGCAGATGGGGAGGTGGAGACATTGTAGCTGATGTCCCCTCCAGGCCTGGGGCCGCCTCCCCGCTCCCCCGCGGACTCCGAGAGGCCAGCCCGCCTTGCGCTGCTGCATTTGCTCAGCTGCTCAGGGAAGGAGGTTGGCATTTGGCGTCGCAAGGGCTGTTTGTTTATTTTCCTTTTATTTTGATCAGCAAAAGATTTCAAGCTGTTTACTCCTCTAGGATCCTGTGCCTGAGAGGCAGGAGGTTTTGAGATTGTACTGTGCATTTTACAGCTGGTGTGTGTGTGCGTGTGTGTGTGTGTGTGTGTGTGCATGCGTGCGTGTGTGTGTGTGTGTGTGTGTGTGTGTGTGTGTGTATGTGTGTGTGTGTGTGTGTGTGTGCAGTCCTGGGGAAAGGGAGCCCTCGCAGAGGAGCCTGGAAGGCTAACTCCCCTCCTGTCTCACTCTTCCTCGGTCCCTCCTTCCTCTGCCTCCACCTCCCCAAGCCCTCAGGGGTGAAAGGATGCAAGTTGGGGTTGCAGGGAGGGAAAGGGCGGAGTCTCCCTTCCCGTACAGGGTGCGCCCTGTCCCACCTCCTGGGGGCGGGCACAGGGAGGCCGGCGTGCAGGAGCCCCAGGACTTGCAGGAGCAGCGGAGGCTGAGGAGCCGTGGCACGCCTGCAGGTCCTGGCCAGTGTGCAGAGCCGGCGAGCGTGAGATCCGGGGTGTGCTTGTGTCCTGCAGCTGCCGGCCCCGCTTATTCTCGCAGTATCCCCAGCTCTTGCCAGGTCCCTGTTTCTTCACTCCCAGGCAGAGCATCTCCTTTTCCTTCCAAGCCAACACGGTTGCTGAGTTCCTGGGCTTCTCCGGTCCCTTTGGCCAGCAGCATGCGCCCCCCGCCCTCCCTGGCTGCCCTCCCGCACACCCGTCCTTGCCAGGCCTCACGACGCTTCTGAGTGACCCAGCCCCGCCACTTTTCCTCTCTTCCCTTGGAGCCAGCGTCTCCAGAGCTCCACGCTCACACCATCATGGCCTGCACCTCTGGGAATCACCGACAGTGTCATTTAATCCGGGACCTTCCCGGAGTCCTCCTCGGCTTTGATGCTCGGG